GTTATCTTAGGACATAGGAAAGTTGCTTCTCTTATATGCAATTGTAAAAAATGCCCATAAAAACTGCAAAATACGAAATGTGAAACTGTAAATTTGCATGTATCTCCACACAGATCCACCAAACCTTTATGCCAAATTTGGTGAAGGTCCAACAACAGGGGGTGAAGTAGTGGTAAAAAATGCTCATAAAAACTGAAAAATTGTATGTATCTTCCCATGGACCTAATGAACCTCCATACCAATTTTGGTGAAGATCCATCCACACCCTGTAAAGTAGTTACATGGACAGACTACAGACAGTACTATTATATTTATATAGATTCAGTAAAAAGGTAAATGGAAGGAAAAACAGATTATAGAATATATTACAAATGTGTTTTATCAACCATCTTCATCTGTATTATTAGACTTCATTTTCCACATCATGAATCCATTGCCAGTTTTGAGGCATGGTATATCTTGTCATTTGTAATGACATTATGTTCAGTTTAGAGAGTTCCTTGTCTTCCTCTAGGTCATGCTTATTAGTCTATTTCTGCCATTGAGACATTGGTTGAACATGTTGTTTTTGGCTTTTTGCCACTTCCCAACTCTCAGATTTGAGTGGTCACAGTGTTGAAATTCTCAAAGATCATACCCATATTTTTAAATTTTTAAAGTATGATTTGTTCTTGGGACGTTTTTTACTGTACAAAATGCTTCATTTTCTTAAAAGTCTTACTAGAGATTTATAATGATATTTCCATTTGATTTTTTTTTTACATTGTTTTATCTTTGTCCCCACTGCTTGTCTTTTTCACAGTATGTTTCAAATCCTTGCACTCTATCAACACATATAGCAAATAAGATTATCCGGGGGAAAGGGTATACCCTTAGCTCCACTTTTTGATATGTACTCATGAACAGTCATCTTTGTGCTCTAAAGTTGATATTAACTACCACCAGGTTTATCCTGGATAATAACAAGTATTTCACATAGCAACTGAAACTTTGTTACAGGAGTACAGTTTTATTTAGTGTTAAAGATTATTTTAATCCCTGTAAATGTTGTTCCTTTGAGGAAATGGATGCTGCTCTACAAAGTTCATTAATCCAAATTCACATGGTTAGTATTATTATGTATTTCTTACAGTAAAAATGTTTTTAAGTAAAAGAGTTGTGATATATGTAACATTCTGTACTTAATATTTCACTATTACACCACTGTATGAGTTTAAAATATAACTGGTGAGTTAGAGAATATCTTTTTTTCACTAACGTTAAATAAACAAGTAAAGAAAAAACTTTTCAGTAAAGGAAGTAAATGTATGGATGGCTAATATTAATCCTTCAAAAACAATGTAAACAAGATAGTAGGGATGGCATTTGCCTCATCCCTACATAATAGCATAGGTACACAGCGTAGTAGAATGTTAACAGACAAAAGTAGGATAAATTAAACTCCGTTGTGATTAAATGGTTATATATATTGTTATGAGTTAATTCCCGATATTAGCCATCCCTACATTTACTTCCATTTTGGAAAGTTTTTTTTTACTAGTTTACTTGTTTTTTTTAATACGGTGTTTCAATAGACATATAAAGGTTGTAATTATAACCACATTCTAAATACAGTGAGGTTCCAACTGTAATATTTATTGTTTATCTATTATTGGCTGATAATTCCTGTTTCACTTTGTACACAAGCTTTTTAAAGGAAATGTCAAATTTATGTAAGAAAGCTAACTTCAGGGGGTAATGATAACATCATTTTCACTAGAATTATGATATTTTTATAATTACAACTAGTTGTTAATAATACTTATAATAGCTCATACTCCCTTTAAAACTATGTCACCTCAGTGAATTTGGTTGACACCATTGTTTTGGTTATTGAGTTATTGTGTAATAGAAAAGAAGCAGAAGAAAGAAGAATAAGAAATTCAAACTTTTTACTATAATATTTACAAACATTCCCAGAACTTGTGACTTAGTCATTACATAGATATTGTTATAGAAGGAAATACTGTATGGTATTGTAAAGTTCTGATGACCTATTGAAAAGATATTTAAAATACCATTTTGAGGAACAATCTGAGCCATCCCTACATAGACAGTGCTGCCACCTGCCTTATATATTTTACAGCCTGTCACCTAAAAGAAGTAATTATTTTTTCTCATTATTGTATTATTGTTTTTTACAGATAACAGTTTATCAACCAGGTAAATAATTTTATTACCTTATTTTTGGATAATATGTTTTTAAGCATAATCATTTTAAAAGGTAATTATGAAACTTTTTTTTTTTCTAGGTTGGTCATCTTAGTGTATCATCTCTCTCAAACTCTGAAGCTTTTGGGGTTGCTGTCGCTACAGACACAGTTATCAGAATGCACAGATGTAGCTCTAAGGAAGACATATCATATGTTCTTCACCATCTGATTGGATCAACTGTAACGTGCTTGGACAGTTGTGGTGAGGTCTTGGGAGCAGGAATTACAGATAGAACAGCTGTAAATGTCTTTCAGGTAGGACATTACAATAAGTAAATAGAAAAATGCAAAGGTGTTAAAATATAGAAATCAGACTTTTAGAGATAAATCACCTTAAAAACTATGGTTGTATTTTAGTTTCTTGGCAAAGTATCAAGCAAACACTCTTTTTCAAGCCAGAAGCATGCCTGTCAGTTAATGACAAATTAAATTAAGTAGATGTATAAAAGTTAAATAAAGTTAGATTACAGATGGAACAGCAGTAACTGTCTCTCAAGTAGGATTATCAATAAGAACTTTCGAATAAAAATAAAGAGTATATAATAATATGTCAACCACACTAGGAGTCCTTTGAGTCAATACCAGGACTCTTCATGCTGACTGGAACATAACATATATATAGCAGATACCACAACAATGAGTAGATGCATAGAAACAAAATGTTGGACTATACAGAGGGTTGAGTACATTAAATTAAAATTATTTTGAATATGCAACTTAATAAGATATAACAACCACACCTGATATAAAGTTGCAGTGGAATGTTATGTATCAAAACTACATTTTGACTGTTTGCTATTTAGTAGGTAGTGTAAGGCCATCAAAGGTTTATCACTTTTGGGAAGGGTATGTAACAGCCCTTTTCAGCATAAAATATTCATACTCTCAGATTATAAATATGTGTTTAGATCAGGGATTTAGAATTTCCAAGATGGTGATATCCTCTGTACTTAAAAACATTGGAAAACTAAAGAATTAGGATGAGCACCAGAACTATCCAGAAAGAGACCTGCAACAAGTCATACTCCATCTGTGATAAGCAAAACTCTGTATCTTATAACACAAAGGTCAGTGGAAAGATCCATCCACTTGCTCCATGCACCAGTATGCAACATAATGATATTTCATGTGAAGACATACTGATCAAGTCACTGATTTTAGCACCTGTGGCTTTCTGCACAATTGGATTGTTGAAACAGGCACTGGAAAACTATCATCCTCCTACACTGGATAGATTATGGAAAGCAGTAGTGAAGAGTGATGTGCTTTGATCATGACAGCCTTACAAAGGACCCTTTTACAATGGAAAGTATGTTATAGGGCTATTGTTAAGATGCATTACTGTCAGATAGAACATGCTTTGCCGAAGTGAGTTTCAAAAATCATTTTAATGTAACATAACCTCTGTACATAGAAGAACAGTATGACTTTGAGTTGGTGTACTACAACAATTACACAACTTCATGTATAAAGAATTACTGTAGAAGGGATGGTAGCAATTATCTTCTCTATATATTCTCATTAGAATTACAAGTACATAGAAAGGTTGATATTAGAGAATATCACTTACAGTCTTTAAGGTAGGGTATTACAAAATGTTATGGAAAGTTTGTGAATAGTGGTAGAATTATGGAAAGTATGCTAATTGAGTAGGTAATGAAAGAAGTTTGACCAATAGGAAATGCTTCTTGCTTGTGTAGATCATTAGTTAGGCCACATTTGAAGTAGTTTGTTCAGTCTTGTGCTCCTTACCTTAAAATGTATATTGAATTGTTGGAAAGAGTTCAGAGGAGGGCTACTAGGATGATACCCAGGATGGAAAGGTTGTAATATGAGAATAGGTTAAGATCTCTGAACTTGGCTTCTCTTGGAAAAAGAAGAGTTAGAGGGGATCTGATTGAGGTGTTTAAGATTGTTAAGGAAATTGATTGTGTTGATGTATCATCATTTTTTTCATATTTAATGGTGAGAATGGTTAGAATAGGGGATACAAATATAAATTTTGGCAAGGAAGGAGTCGTCTTCAGCTAAGATAATTAATTTTATGAGAGAATGTTTAGCTTTTGGAAGGAGTTGCTTTCAGATACGTTAGATGCAATTGATTTAAGGGAGTTTAAGGGAAAGCTTAATAAATATTTGAATGATAAGGGCTTGCTTTGTGTTTTTTTTAGTGTTTAGTTTAATTTAGTGGATAGGATGGCCTAGATGTACCAAAGTTCCCTTGTTATTCTTTAATCTTATGCTATTAAAGTATAGCACTACTTTGAAATCATACATGTTACTTCCATTTAAACAATGCAGCAAAATTAATTATCTTTGTAGGCACATACATATTAGCATTTTAACTCTTAAAATAAAAAGCAAATACTTGTTATAAATCTGTAAAACTTTATGTAGTGGAGATTATAACTGACAAAACATATTTCATTAGATAATTTGTCCCATCAAAAGGATCATTAAATCCTTGTAGAATGTGGTAGAACAGTAGTAAGTGTCTGTCAGGTAGGATATTACAATAAGTAAAGGTATATAAGTAACATGTGAAAACTACATAAATCATATATCAATTTTAGCATCAAATTGATGGAACGTAATTGATTTTTTAAGTTATATACATTTAATGGTGAATAGTTATATAAAGCACAAACATATGTGTCTGTCTGTTTGTCAGTTATCTAACTACTCTTAGGTCACTATGCCAATCTCAACCAAACTTTGTGGGATGATAATTTGGAACAAGGGGTATGTTAATAGGGGTTATCAACATAGGGGTTATTGCTGTTATTGAACATTTGTTATCTTTGACATAAATTAATGTTAACTACATTTGTAGATGGCACCATTTCCTTACACAGAAAAGGAAAATATTCAATTTTCTATAACACAACATACACAAAGTGTGGAGAGAGGGCACACAAAAGTATTATATATCTCAGAGAGTGATAGCACTCTCTATTTAGGAATGCAACGTAAAAAATGGCCACCACTATTGCAATAATACATAAACTCAGCTGAAATTTCTTCTCCAACAGCCAACATAAGGCTGATATGAAGAACTGTTTCTTGAGTTATATCCACTTCCTACTTTGATCCAAGATGTTTCAACTTCAGCCTATAAGACACTTCTGTGGCCAATGACCATTAATTAGTTAATCAAATGAAATACTATATAAAGACATTAAGAGCTGAGTGTTGAAAACAGGTAACAGAAAGTACCCCTACTGCCACTACTTTGAATGCTATCTCTTAAGGTAGCACTAATCCTTAAACTTGGCAAACTTGCATGCTGAGGAAACACTGTAAAACAAACGTATGGTGTCGCAATCTCTGAAAGTACACTTTAAGTACCATGTCATATCATAATTAATGTGGCAGGGATAAAGAAATACATAACATAAACTGTGTTAACACCATAACTATACTTAGGATTGATAAAAACATGAAAATTGATACACATGTTCTTTGTGAACATCTCATAGCTTGAATTAAAAACTTTGCAATGTTAACGAGCTATGGCCAATTAATTTTAATGCCTTTGTTAGTGGTAATTAGGCTCATAACAAGACAATTGGTTTAGATTTTTGAATCTAAAAACATACAAGCTATGAAAGAAGGTAATACCAACAAATCTGCTAAATTTCATGCTGATATGCTTTAATTTTGAAGTTATCTTCTTAATAAATTGGTAACCCCAGTAGAAAGTGCATTTTAAGAAAAATGGCCATTAAGGTTTTTCTGCACTTAAATGTCAGTAAGCTTTTAGTAAATGTGTGCATTTACCACATTTAAAATATCTCAATCCCATTGTAGACACCAAGATCCATCCTAACTTAATTATCTCATCTATTATCTCCCTAAAACATAAACATCCCCTTCTTTTTTTGGTAGCAGCTTCATCAAAGCCCTTCTTGACATTTCTGGAGACACGTGTTCCTGATTTCCTTTGTTGGAGGAAGCCCTTTCTGCTCCTTTCACCCTTTCTAAGTCAATTTTCTCCAGGCATTTTCTTGTATATGGTCCTACAGTAATTTTCATTGCTTGAAAGATTCTTATTTTGGATGCAGAACCTTAATTAAAGGTGCACACGGATCATCAGCAGCTCAACAAATGGTTTTATTGCTGGCAAATGAAGACTTTGGGGTATATTCTCAAGATGATGTGATTCAATGTATTGTTAGGGTTTTGGGTAATGCAGTCCAAGCATTTTTGAAACAAAGTTGGCTTAGAGAGTTTGTTAAATATTGGTTTGATGCTGGTCATTACAGCTGGTGCTTTGGTATGCTTACACATACTACAGATTAATTACTAAAGATTTTAAAACAAAAATTCATTATTTATGTAGAAAAAAGGTTAAACTTTTGATTTAGGCTAAATTTGAAAAATGTGATTTTTGAAATATTGGGGGTGCTGTTTAAGGGTCAATGCTATCTTAATACAAAATCCATCGCACCGTGTATGCCATGTTTTATGAATATACATATTGAGTTCTTTTGGTGAATTAATAATGAATACTGTAATAATATGTTATAAATAAATTCTGTGAAAGTTATGATTTGTGTGTTATATATCATAGCATCCACCCCCATATTTTTTTAAGTTCATAACCTGGACAAATGACAGGTATCTCAGCTTGTTTTAAATATTTTTCTGTTTCTACAGGAAAAATACTTTATCTTCCTTCACAGATTCCTTTATACTCGCTCACTGATGGCCACCTGATAGGAAATTTAGCTAGCCACACAAGTGCTGTTTTGTGTCTTGATTTGCATAATACCCCTGTTCATTTGATAGCTTCTGGTTGTAGGGACAAAAGGTAAATTAAAAGTTGTGTTCTTTCTTGTACCAGTCAACTAATTATTCTAGTTCAATTTATTAACTATCACTGAATAACCAGAATGTTTTTATAGGGACTATCAGAGCATCATACGTGTATAAAACATTCAGTAGTCATGGTGATTTTTAGCAGTTAGAGTTTTTGTCTTTTTTTTTTGGTTCAAAACATTAAACAAAATTTAAAATGTTTTAGATTTGTATTTAGACTAAAAACTCTCAAGACTTATATATTTCATGGATTGAAAAACTTATTTCATCCTGGATAAATGTGATTGGTGTATTGATTAACTCTGTTATGGCCATTATGTATGTACTTTTCAGGTCTCAAGTACATGCTGTTATAGCAAATTTGAAAATTTAAGTAAAAAATGGAATTATATTTTTATTTCAACCATTTTTTTTCACTCAAAAAATATTTTATAGTTGTTGTTTTAGTATTATTTAACATTTTGTAGTATATTTCACAAACAAAAATGAAAAACTTTTCAACAGTTATTTCTGTGCAGCTACATAAAGGTACATTTATAGACTTTTTTACAATGTTTCTACTCATCCCATAGTGTAGGTTTATATCTGTGGCATGTAACAAATTAATCTTAACTTTGAAAACAGCTATATCCAACATTTAAATATAGTTGGATAGAGATTATTATTAATGACCCCTGACCTCACACTTAAAAATGGAGTCAGGCATAACGTCTTGCTTTTTGCTGGTAATATTCTTAGCCAAGATAAATTTATGCCCGATAAATGTATAAGTTCTTTTATTTGCCTATGTTGTTTGAACACGAATAAACTTAAAAATATTTTGTGAATAGTTTGCTGTCACTTACCATACACACATTAAACTTAGCTAAATTTACTTCATATCTTGTCATACAAGAACATTTCTGTAGCTTTCAGGTATAATTTACCATAATAATAAACTATAAACAATTCAAGGACCAGTGGTGTGTTTCTAAGTGTTATAAATTTCCCACGAGATTCCATTGTTCACCATTAATATCTAGAGAATCTACAAATGACTCGTACTGCTTCATTATTATAATAATAATACATTCTCTGTCAGTTTTTGCTGTGTTTTGTATAACCAGGAGTAGTGACTACTACAATTGACAAAAAAGTGTCAAAATTGACTGGATATATAAATTGTAACTATCTGATTAGGGATAAAAAATATAAATTGTAAGATGAAAGAAAATGTTTCTAATGTTTCTTTCAAACAAAATTTTGGAAATTTCACGACCTAAAAAATGATAGAAATGCTAAATCAAGTTATTTGAATATAAATGTTGGAGGTATCCCACACAACTGTTTTTGAATTTTAAGTTATGTAAATATTTTTAAGTAGGAACTAATTTCTATATAGAAAATTTATAATAAGTATGATGTAATATTTGTTAAGTATTTCTAATGTGAGAAAGAAAAAATCCAAGGATATCAGCAACACCCTTTTAATCCAGAAAGGGTTAATGAGAAATTTCACAATTAAATGTTCAAATTTTTACATATAATGCATAAAAAAAATGAGTAAGTGTTGGGTTTATGTCATTACAGGGCAAGAGTGTTTGATATGCGAACTCTTAAGGCTGAAATCAGCATCAGTGCTCACTCCCGAGGTGTTTCACAGATCCAGATGGATGAAAACCGCCTGGTAACTGGAGGAGAAGATGGTTTTGTGTGTGTCTGGGATCTACGTACAAGAGCTAAGTTGTGGGAAATGAGAAATAGGTGAGAAAACGTTTTATTTAAGCAATACTTTGGTGCTTTTGCAATCATTCTTTTGTTAAACATATGAGTAAGTAACAGTAAATAAGATGAAAGTTTCTTAATGTATCAATTATATGTGACTAATGTTATTATAACAGTAATTTGAAATAAGCTTCAGTATTTAGGTTCTAAATATTTTTTTCTGTTGCCAACCAGATGTTTTTATTAGCAATACTGTATTTGGATATTAACCTATATTCTTCATACTCTCTGGTATAACAGTTTAATTTTTTTTAACTTCTGTATAAAAATATGAAAACTCTGATCTTATTGTTTTCCATATATTTGATGCCATTAGGCTTACTTAATCAGGAAAATGTTGAAATATTTATATATGACAACATTACAATATGCAACTAAAACAGCAATACTAAAAATATCTGAATGTAACTACAGTTTTAAAATGTCCATATGAAATAGTAGTATTATATGTAACAGTTAGTTGTATTGTTAAATGGTGCTCAAGCTATTTTGATAACATTCTGTTAATTCATAGGGCAAGCACCATACAATACAATATTTAAAACTGCATCAATGCAGTGCATTTTTCAACAGTAATAATTTTTTTTATTGGTTCAAAGCTCATACTGTAAAATTGCTAGGTCTAAGGATGGACTTGTCCCCTCGTTTAAACTGCATACTTCATATTTCCTAATAAATTTATAATTAAACTGTACCTCAGGAACCATAGTCATGATTAGTACCAGTGTTTTAGTGTATTTGTTAGAAAACCCAAGCTGGCTGGGAATAAACCACAATATGAAGTCAGTATGAAATTAATGTTGACCAATTAGCTATATTCGTCCTGACTAAGACATTTATATTGGATATTTCATTAAAGCAATGTTCCATACCTATAAAGGTAGTAATAAGATACGTTTTTACTGGTATTTTGTTCAAATGTTTATATAATTTGATCCAAGAGAAAAAACATTCCAGCAATAATTGGTAAAAAAAGACATGATATTGGTTCCTGAAAGCTCCAACAATATTGTTCAAGTCCAATATTATTGATTAGTAACAAAGTAACTTGAATTTAATGGGTTATTCCATTGTTATGAACTTGTTTTAGAAGAGTAATCTTAGAGGATTTTAAGTTTACCGTTTATGTGTATAAAAATTTCAGGTGCAGTTCTATAGTACTTGTTTCTGAAAACCTGACCTTTTTAATTGCTATCATAGACATCCAGTGAAATACTTAAGATGTGAAAAAACAACACTGGTTACAGCAAATATTCCTGATGAAAAGTGTCCTGAACCAGAAGATGGAGAGCTTGTGGTGCATAGAAGGTATGTTACTGTGATTCTGTCTTTCACATCAAAATGTTGTCATTAATACTAAACATGACAGAAATGTTAGGAGTAATATCAAACATGATGAGAATGGTATGGTTAAAAGGACTAATTTTACAGTCACACTTACAGTTCTTCCTAGAAAATGTTTTTATCCTCTGTCTAGAGGATATTGTTATCATTAATATTAAGTGTGACAAAAATGTTGTATTTTCAGTTCTCCTTAGGCCTCCTAGTGCAGTGGTTCCCAAACTTTTTTCATTGACAACACCCTAACCAACTTATCTTGATTTGCACAACACTCCTGCTGCCACCTGCAATATTTTTTGTAGAGTTTTTTTATCTTCTTCATTTGGTGACAATCTCATGACACGCTGTCCTAGTGGCTTGTGGAAAGTCTGGGGGCTTAATACAATAAAACTAGGGTTTTGGTACCCACGGTGAGCAGAGTATAAGTAACCCATTATGTAGCTTTGTGCTTACCAAACAAACATGATTTGAATGTAATTGTTCATACAGTATTATATGACTCAGCTGAAGTTACGTATAGATAGGTGCAAAATAAAAGATTGTATTTGACTGTAGAGCTAAAGCTAATGTTGAAGTTTATCATGAAATATTTTAACATGTTTGGGCAACTACACCAGCTAACATTATTGTACTGTGTTCAGAAATTCAGCTTGCAGGTTTATCACAGAACAACCATAACTAAGCCTATCAATGTTTTGCTTTTTTACAGTTATTTAATATATTAATTAATTCTTTCTGCTTGATATCTCACTTTATTACAAGAGCGAATGACATTATTAACATTTAAATAATTCTATCTAATCTCTCCCTTAAAATCATCCCACAGTGGCTCAGCAGTAAGTCTGCAGGCT